TTATCAGAGAAGAAAGGTCAAAGGCCGAAAGGCATCCGGATGCATCTGAAGTTCAGGCGAATTATAAATATCGATAAGAATTTATCTAAATGACACTTGTTGTATTACCTCATAATCTCATTTTGATTGCCAGAAATCTATAAATAAATTTTTTTAAAATATTGAAATTCTATGTATCTAGGGCAAAAATCTCTTGAGGTAAGAAAGCACTTGTGTCTAATCATATTAATTTATTATATTGTCATACTGTACCTTTTTAAGTTAAAATTGAGAAATAATAAGCTTTATTGGGGCTTCGGTGTCCGGCCCCAAGTCCGAATCCAGCAGACCTGAATTCTTTGAAATGTGCTTTTTTACAAAAACACCGGGACCCAGGGGGTTGGTATCTATCTTGTAGCGACTTTTTTATAGTTCTTAAGTTTTCTCATTTGTGGGTGTTGGTTATTTTCTTAGCTGTTTCACTATTACTTCTCATTTGTATCTATCCATGGCAATAGTTACAATTTGCCTTAACTTATGACCCCATGTCTTGATTTCCAAAAATCGAAAAATCCAAAAAAGCGTCATTGAAATCCTATGTATCTAGGACAAAAGTCGGTACCTTTTGATGTTAGAAAAAATTTCTATTCATATCAATTATATGATTTTAAGTTCAAAAGTAGAAATAATAAACTGTATTAATTGTTTATATAAATTATGTTTGTTTATATTATAAATTATCTCTGGTTGCATAAATTGTCTAGTTCAAACATTTTTTTAAGTGTTTCTTATTGTACTTGGGTTTTGTCTATTGAGTGTGTTGGTTTCTGGTGGTTTCGTAGCCTTTTCACTATTTCTTACCATTTTTTTATATTTCATTTATATCAATCTACTAAATATAAAGATGGTAAATGCTTCCTTATATTTTGTTTTAACTCATAAACTCATTTGACTTGATTGCCAAAAATCTAGTAATCTTAATTTTTTTAGTATTGTACTAGAGTTTTGTTTCTTGTGGGTGTTCTTTCTTTTCGTAGTCTTTTCACTATTTCTTTTAATTTTTTTTTGTCTATAGCCAAAAAAATAGAAACCCAAAAAAGCTTTATTGAAATTCTATCTATAAAGGACAAAAGCCTCTCCAACTTGAAATTACAAAGGATTTGTATCTATTCGCATTATACTGGAGTACTATACATTTTTAAGTTCAAATTCAACGTCTTTTTGATTATTTTCGTGGTTTTTACTATTTGTTCCCATTTTTTCTATATATGGCAATCCACTGTCTTGAGATGGTACACGCTTCCTTATATTTTGTCCTTATTTGAATTTTTTTACGTCCTAGATTGAATGTGAAAAATATTGATCTCTATTGCTAAAGCCAGTAAATTACCAAGATCACCCTTGAGATTTATTTTTATTGTTGCATATTTATGCGGTTTGTGATACAGGTACCTCTTTAAGCCTAGCTGCATTAATAATGAGTTATTCTTTGTATCTAAGGTCTTGGCTAAAATGAAAAAGTTATAGAAATTCGGATCGTCGTTAGAAAACAACATGCTGAGTAGGAACTATCTTTTTAAAAAGCCCCAGCCGAAGGTCGTGGGTTCGAATCCCGCTCGTGCCACTAACTTTTTCATTTCAATCAAGACCTTACATACAAAGAATAATTAATTGAAAGAAGTAATTTGGTCAGTCAGACCACGAAATATAATGGAATTGATAATAATCTTAAATATAGAATTATACCCCGTACTTTTGTCCCTACTTTTTAATATACGTTGTTTCTTTTACTGAATTATTTTATTTTTGTAGATTTATTTTCAAATATCATTCGACTTTTCATCCTTTTTCTATATAGCAGTCCACTAAATATCTCCAGTTCTAGTTTGCCCTTCCATTCCATATTAGGTCTACCATGTTTCTTTTTAAGTCTTTCGGAATCCGTTCGGTTTAGAACTTTTTCCACCTTCCCAAGGCTGTTTCGGCTTGATTCAATTAACTGACGTATTTCTATTTTCCTAAATGAACTGCTATTGTAACGTCAACTTATAAAACCGTAAAATAAGTCCGTAGCGTTTTTCACGGTAAATTCAATGACAATTTCAGATAGTTGTAAACAAATTCAGTCAAATTGAACCATTTTGTTCCATTATCTGTAGCCATCTTCCATGTAATTTTGTAATTCCGTCTTCCCAGAACTTATCTAGTTTTTGAGCGATGAAGTAAAATTTGTCCCATTAATACTTTTATTGAGCCTGGAATAAGAGAAAATTGCAGGGGCAACGTCATGCACATGGAATATATTCAGGCTTTAATCATTTAAATTGTAGTGTACACTGGACTTAACGGTTTGTTTTGGTGGAATAAACTTATAATAAAGCACTTCCTTCCGATCCTACCAGATGTACATGTAGTCAAGTTTTGGAGTTGTTATCGGTGGGTCGCTGCGTTTTCCCCAGGGAATTGCCTCTCCGAACATTGTCGTAAAGGAGATTTCATCCCGTTATCGAACTTTTTAAAAATTAACCGTTTACATTGCGTTTTAGGAGGGAATTACAGATAGAAATGCAGTCTAATAAATTTTTCTCGATCAAATGTAAGTATCGCTCCGATGAACATATCTGACTGCTCTCAGTGCATGAAACGTTCGTATGAGATATGTCAAGTGTCTCTGCGATGTCTCGTGTTGTTTATTTTTTGTCAAAATTTGAATGTGGTTGAAGAACATCAAATCACAATTTTCTCATTCTAAAAAAATGAACTCTTTTAAAAATCCATTTTCAGAGTGCTTGAACAATTATTTAATAAACATTGCTTAAAACACAAGTGCGATAAAATCTAATTATTGAAATATGTTAAAGAGTTAAAGTTATTTTACAGCCCAATATTTTATTCGTGGATGGGACAACTTTGTGCTAGGTCTCATCTTCTCGACTACACCCTTGAGCCATGTTAAGTGCTGTTAATAAAGCACAATACTTTGCGACCGCTCAAATACGTTGAGTAATGGAAATGGTTTTCATTCGTCGAGATGGATTTTTTTTTTCTCCATCCGTCTATTGCTGGTTCTTATTTAGCAGAGTGAACATAAAGACGGCGGAGAGTGATTCCTTATCCGCCGTATCTTCCTGATTGTGTTTTTACGTACGGGTTTGTTTCCAATCGATTCGGTCCGAGATCAATCGATGCCATCGGCGAAAAAGCGAAATTAATTACACTAATCCGAGGGAATGGGACGGAAAATGTAGGGGTTTATGTCGGGGGAAGTAGAACTGGCTCCCGGTTAATAGCCGATGTTGCCGATCGGTCGGAAATCGTACATGCTCCAGTTGTCGGATAGATATAAAAGAAGAAATGTTCCTTGCATAGTCGGCCTTGTTGTTTTTCAACCTGCAACTAGTCGCAGCGATTTCTGTTTTCACTTCAACCGCTCGTTTTATAAATAAAAAAAGAAACTCGATACAGTAATGAATTTCTAAACGGCCTATTTGCAAAGAGACTCGGCACAAATTTATCGCAAATAAAAAGATAATTTTCAGCAGGATTAAGTCAACATATTGCATAATTACTCATGAAAATCTAATTAATAATAACCGTAATGCTTTCAGAGTTGAGACAGTCTTTAACTACTGTCGTAGAATCTAAAGACCACATTAATAAAATGTAAAGTAAAGTAATTACTGTCAAACAGGAGGGCTTAACGTCTACTAACCGTCGAGTGTTGCGGATAGGTGTCAAACCTCTTTTCTTACCATGCCCATGAGCTCATATGATATTAGAACCCAGAATCTAATTTGGGTAATGTGTCGGTCTCTCGAGTGCCGTGTCCCGCTGATCTTCACTAAAGTAAAGGCACATAAAACCTCGATCCCATGGCGGGTCACTTGGTCAGAAGTTTGTCGTTCATCTAAATCCTCGTTGCTCGAAGTGGCTCGGCCTTTCCCGTGTTTTGTCAAACAGAAGAGCTTACCGTCTGATTACTCATCGGGTGTGCCGAACTAGGTGTCAAACCTCTTTTCTTGCCATGTCCATGGGCTCTGATGGTATGAGAACCCAGAATCTAGTTTGGCTATGTATCGGACTCTCGAGTGCCGTGTCCCGCTGATCTTCACTAATGTAAAGGCATATATGACGAGTCACTTGGTCAGAAGTTTGTCGTTCACCTAAAGACTCGGTTTTGCTCGAGGTGGCTCGGCCTTTCCCGTGTTTTGTCCGTAAAATCTTCAAACATCAAAGGCAGGACAGATGACAGACCTCAGCACAGCTCGAGCACCCGTTCCCATGATCTGTTGTACCGGTTTATTCTGAACTAAATTCAGTTTTCAACATCTACAAATCATAATAGAACACTGTACTAACGTTGATCTTTAAATCAAAATTGAATTCATTCAAACAAACGTAATGGGGTGACGGGTCGCCGCTTGAGATTCGCCAAGCCGCTAGCCTTTCCATGCCATGGGAACGGCTAGCGGTCAAAATACGACAGATCACAAATCTCTGAGTACGCCGTCAAGCGACAAGCCATGGGAACGGCCTAACGACACGAAAGAATTAGATTATCCCATTTGATGAGAAAAATACAACTGGGAACAATTTGTTTCCAGGCAGTGGCTTTGGGCACACATGACGCTTGGCTAATAAAGAGCTAGATGAACTATCAAAGGGTACCTCGGTAATATCATTTTGGCTTAAACCTTTTAAAATTTTAAATTTAAACTTAAATGAAAAAGATCAAAATGAATAAGCCACACCTATTAAACCAACAGCCTAGGACAAAGGTACGCATAATCTCTTCTAAAATCACAACACACCTGCTGCATCAAAGCCGGTCAAAACTTAATATAATGAAGATTGCCTAGATAGGTTCTCCTAAGAAGAGGAAGAAACCTAAGTTCACATATCATAAAAGACCGGAACCTAGATAGTTAGCTTTATCCCTTATGGAGTTATAGACCGATTTGTCAAAATTATGTACGTGTAGCTATAACTTTTAAAATGAAACATCATTTTTCTTTTTTCAGGTGTTGTCGAATGACAGGAGGTACGGGCTCAGAGGCGGTCCCTCGGACCGTCCGATGGACACGATCTTCGTCAAGTCAGTGAGACCCGGGAGCGGAGCTGCGATCGCCGGTTTGTCCGCTGGAGACCAGCTGGTCAGCGTCAACGGCGAGCCCATCACGGGCAGAAGTTACGCGCAAGTCGTCCACCTCATCCAGGCCTCACCGTCCTACCTGCATCTCCTCGTCGTACCCAAGGAAGAAGACCTCCTCCAGTTGGTAAGACAAATTTCGCAAGTTTGTTTTGTAAGAGTGTACTCTTTTTCGCCTATGCGGTTTTCTGATGCGTTTTGCCTATTAAGAGAGGTTTTCCCACATTATCCTGCCCATTTCACAACTAAATGTTTAACTAAATTACAAGTTAATTAGCTGAAAGTTACTAGTAGACAGTAAGTCTTATCAGAAGTCTACAAAATTCGTAAGAAAGTGTCAAGGAAGCTAAATGACAAAGACTTATTGGTGGAATTTAATGTATCTGGTCCTTGTTGAACCCTTTCTGGGTACGTCTACACTTCGCGAATTTATGTTACTCAACACCCGCGAGTGTTGACGGACATAGTAAATGACGCAGTGCCTGACGTGGAATCCGCACACACGACTAAAAGACTGAGACTTCAGGAGGTTATGACACGATATACAGCTCTTGCCCGACTTCTGATTTTTTTTTTTTTTTTAATTTCTTGATCCTGATCTGGATTTTGGAGAAAGCCTCGCTGTGTTAACAGTCAGCAAAGGTATGGATGCTTAGGGACTTGCTATTAAAGAATAAGTAGGACTGACGTGTATATGCGGTATAAAGAGTAAGACCTAGGATACTTCCATGGGAGACACCGGCTTTAATTTGGTCAATAGACGCGTACCCCTGCCCTCGCAAACTTGGGAATGTCGGTCGGATTTGTGGTAAATTGAAATTTGAGCGAAACCAAGTCAAAAAACGAATCGAATAAAACAATGCAGTATCATTTGCCTTTCATTTGACCTCCATTATGGAAATGAGTAACGGCGTTGGGTTTTGAATGATTGATGATGGCAAAAGGCTTCCGACTGAATTATTCCGCCGATATTATCAATCTCGGTTCACACGTCCGCCTGTCAGCCGGTGCGTAATTGAAACCAAACCGAACTGCCGATCGTCATTGTTCTGGGAGACAAAGGAGCTTCCGCGGGTCGGCTTTTCCAACTTGAAACGCGCTAAAAAGCAACTAGGTTTGGGAAAAAAATTGTTAAATGTATAACAATCGACCAGTTTTTATAATAATATTGAAAAATGGATATGGTTGATAATGATTGACTTACTAGTAGTATTAGGTTTAAATTGCCGCTTTCGTTAATTTAATATTGTACTGATTAGTTGAAGTAAAGTACTGTTTAGAAAATCCGGTTCCCAAATACTTTGTTGCCATGGATCAACGATATCGTGGTTTCTCCCATGAATTCAGCATGTTTTAGGACACACATAAACTTTGTGCTTCTTTTGGACAACTAAATATAAATAACATTGGCTTATGTCGTCCACCCAACTCACCATCTTCCTATCCTGTATCCCCTGAAGAATTAAACTCCCACTTTGTCTCGCCCAACTCTTCTTCATCAAGGCCTGTCCCCATAACAGCTCCCTCTGGACCCTCATTCAGTCCGTCTAACTTCTATTTCTCCTATCTAACCCCAGCCGAAGTCCTTGAGGCCATAACCAAATCCCACTCCAAGGCCATTGGAGTTGATGGAATCCCTATCCATTTTCTTAAACTCTGCCTCCCTATATTACTACCTGTTCTACTTCACATCTATAACTACTCACTCCAAAACTCCATTTTTCCGACAGCCTGGCAAAAAGCCCTTGTCCACCCTGTAAATAAAACCCCCAACCCATCCTCCCCTACAGACTACNTTTTTTTTTAAATTATGTGACTTCATAGAAGGTTATTATATTTTGTCTCATGTAAATTATTCTAAGGGGACACCAGTCCCAGAATAAAGTTATTTTTCTTCTTCTTCTTCTTAAATAAACTCTAATTTCTTGCAATTGATAACTAGATCTGAATAAATAGTCTAGGATTTGATAGGATATGAATAAATCAAACGGATGCAAGTTACTTAAAATGTGAGTTATATAAATTAGAAAATTGAATAGTGCAATGAAAAAAGAAAATTTGACAACATCGAGAAAAATTATGTTAAGGAGACAGCAAAGCAGATATACAATCAAAGCCAGATCGTCAATTTTTTCTACACGTGCCAGCATGGAATATTATACTAGGCAGACTTCATAAATGGGAAAAAATTGTCCATGTTCCAAAAATGTTTCTTAAAAAAATATCTGATATTAAAGAAATATCTGTTTTACGAAACGACACGAAGCCTCAATCTTAAAATTAAACTTTAACACCACTTAAAAGCTCTTTTGCTTTGAATTCATTTATCACAAAATTAAAGTACAACTAACATCAGTCGCGTAATTAGGAGGACTTGCAGTAGATAGAATTTCGCTTGCCTAGACATCTGTGTCATACACTTACCATCCAACTTAGCTTTAAGTTTCAATTATGCACGACCGTCCATGCCTAATTGCTGAATAATCAAGAATAAATCTTTCTCTACTTTGATTTTATGATGTCATAAACCACTATCATGGATATTCCTTAATCTATTTTCACCAATATGTACGATTTTTCTTTTCAGTATTTGACTACAAGGAATTTGCTTATTTGAGTAGATAAAAATACCATTTTTCTGGCTCAGGATATTATAATTATATATATATATATTTACAGGATATTACAACTGATTTCATTAGCAAATTAAATAAGAAATATCGAAGTGATGAGGACGATGGTACATGGGCAGATAGCGTTCGGTCCCACAATTAAGTAGTCGGAGCCTTGGGAAGGATCGAGTCGATTTTACTGATTTAAGGACCTAGGGAACTACAATAAGGCTGTAGTGTAGTGCTTGAGGAACAAAACCCCAGACTTGATAGACATCATCAGTAGTCTTATTGGCATGTATACAATATCTTTCCAACTGAAGTCTATACCATAAAAAGGTAGTTGACCATAGGAGCACTTACCTATTAATGGTTTTCGATAACCAAATAAGTAAGGTATGTTACTTCTACTTGATCCTAAGTGAGTGGGATAAATGGTAACTAAGAAGCGTCATAGTCAAAACAAGTCGTTACACCTCTCAGGAGATCAGAGACCTCAGACTCTTCTGAGTGATAGGGATTTATACTTTCATAGGGCCTCTTGGAATAGAGATTTAATTGAGAACAATTATAAGTGGCACCCAAAGACAAGCGGGTCTCAGTGTCACAGGTGCCATGAGCACAACGCCAACTGCGGCCCTAGAAGTTTTGTTAAACCTCCCAACACTTCACATTTTAATCCAAGAAGCCAGAACAGCTGCCCACAGGATCATAAATGGACAACCATCTGCTAGGATAGACCATGTGAATAAACAATGGAAACTGAGGGAGGAGATGCAGGCAGATGCCATTATAGGTATGCCAGTTGATGCCACTACTCCAAAGTACAACTTCACCAAGAAGTACAAAGTACTGATACTACCACGGGAAGAATGGACCAAAGGAACACCACTAAAGGCAAAGTACTAGATGTTCCATTGTATGTATCGAACCTAACTACACATACAGACTTATCGTTTTCGTTCAAGATGAAATCCGTTCCCGTTACTGCAAATTCCACAAAACCCTCCCAACTAACGTAAATCAGCACTCAGAAACCTCGCATCCGATAACCTAGTAAGTGACCCAGTGCCCGTTCAGCTTGTGACTAATAATACTTTATTTGATAATTATTATATAACAAAATATACCCTTTAAAAAAAAAAAAGAGCATAAGTATTTACAAGCAATGTAATATCGGACAAAATCGTACATTTAGCTAAAAAGTGCAGATGGTTTCCCTTTCCCTTGTATTGCACAGAGATCACATTTCTGTATCCCTCTGGCAGCCTATCAAGGAGTAGAGTTAAGGAACAGAAATACTCCTCGGAGTTTGAAGAGCCAGCGGAGTCCCTCAGTTTTAGTGTTCTTACATGTTTCTCATTCGTCAAGCAGAACACATCGAGATTTCAGTCTCTTGTACAAAAGAAACCTCTTTGATGGCAGCGTTTGCTCCAAAAACCTCTTGTTATCGCTAGACCTTATTTTGGAAAGAATGCACTGCAATTCTGCCATCCATTCAGAAATGTAGTCTCGAGAGAATCGGAAAGAAGGATGATATCTATCTGACAAGGGATCCAGTGCTCATACCAGTAAACATTTTTATTTATTATCTCCTGAGCTGTAATTTTCGTGTAGCTGTGACCATGGAGTTTTAGGGTTTTGTATATATATTTAAAATGGAGGCAGAAATAAGGGATCAACACGGGTTTCTAAATGTAGCATGTAATTCACTAGTTTTCGTGGTCCGCTTGACCAATTAATATCTTTCAATTAATTAAGGTTTATAGTTGAGATAAAAAGTCAGTGTCACGAGTGGGATTCGAACCCACGATCTTCGGCTAGATACGCTGCTGCTCTACCACTGGAACTATCGTGACCTCGATCCACTCGGGACACTAACTTCCCATCTCAGCCCCACCTTTTAAATTTTCCCTCCTTTTTGCCATTTTTCAAATGTCGTGCAATCAATTTGATTCTCGGGAGGGAAAAAGGAGGGACAATTCAAAAGGTGGGATTGATGTGGGAAGTTAGTGTCCGAGTGGATCGAGGTCACGATTGCTCAAGTGGTAGAGCAGCGGCTTATCTAGCCGAAGATCGAGGGTTCGAATCCCGCTCGTGTCACTGACTTTTTTATCTCAACTAAAAACCTTAATTAATTGAATAGCATGTAATTTGGAGTACAAGAAGGCAAAGCAAACAACTGCTTGATGAAGTACCTCAACGATTTTTCCAACCAATCATTACGTTGAAAACCCCAAACTTGACATCCGTACGTGAGAATGGAACAACAAACCGCATTAAACACTTTAAATTTGGAAGATAAAGGGACCGTATTAAGGGATAGTATTAAGAGCAAATTTTGCTGCCGAGACTTTCTGTACAAAGTGACAATTGAGAGACAAACATGTAGTTAGGCGTCACACCAAGGTAATTGTACTGATTTACTACTTCAATAGTACTCTTTGACATACCATCCCTAACCATCCCAGTTCAACTTGTGTTCACCGTAGATCTATACCCACCAATTACTTTATCGTCCTTTCTCTTGAACTATTGGATTATATGGTAATATACTGACATTTTGACTATGGTTTAAGGATAATTTAGAACTTTAGATCGTTGGTCAACTAATGGTAGATTATTTTAAGCCTATTTAAGTAAGGCATCAAGTATCAGTAAGGTTAGAAGAGGATCTGGTTCACGTAAAGAGAAGATTGAAGGATAAATATCACATATTTGCTTTTCGAAATTTTGATATTTTTTTCATTTCTTGAACCAGTTTGCTTTAAAGAATAAGAAGGAATGTCAAGTGTATATGCGGTATAAAGATTAAGTCCTAGGATGCCTATATTTGGTCGCGATTCAGGTTTTAATGACTGCCGACCAATTTTCTTTCTGATATCAGTCGTCGACGTGTATCAACAAAATCGAGGACGTCAAAGAAATAATTTTGTTGTTTCCACCGGAGATCCGACGTATCTAATCTTTAATTAAATAATTGTTTTTGTTAACAGTACTACGGTGAAACTGCTCACAACCCGAAGACGAACCAGAGACCGCATAGCAGGTCGCGCGGCTCGCCTCACCACAGCCCGGCTGCGTCTTCTTCGCCGGCCAGGAGAGCCATCGAGAACAGTCCTTCGCACTTCCAAGGTAAATCACTTTCTCCGTTTCGCTCAATTTCGCCCGCAGAAAACCCCAGGGTTAAAAACACCGGCGGGCGCCCCCCTTGGAGAAAGTCGAAAGCCGGTTTTAATAAAACACGATTGAGTTTTATTGAAGAGCTTATCTCCATAAAGTATCGACGGGACGTCAAGGGGGGCGACGGATTATGGTAATGGGCCCGAATAACATTTATACTTGTCCCTCTTCAAAAACACACAAATGTCAGACTCGTGAAAACAAGTTTCGGCCGCCAGTTCACTAATAAACGTACACCATATACAGACCAGAAGGAATTATCGGCGAAACCACCTAGCCACATGCTTGCGGTGACACTAATAATAATAATAATAATGAGAAACTTTATTTAAGAATAATTACGAATTTACATAGTTAAAAAGAATGTATATAAAAGCATACACGGCTTGGATATCCGTCAGCCAGAGATGCTACATAGTTTAGCTATAATAATAATTATTATACGCAGTTGACACACGACCACCTGCTTTTGGACACAAGTCCGCACAGAAGCCACTTATGCAGAGAAAGGTTGCTCGTTGTATCTCACATAATAGAGGCGTCATGCCTTGGCTCCATACAGAGAGCGTGTAGGCATGCCGCCATATTTAAGAATTATTCTCGAGCACAGCAGTCGGTTTCTGGGTTCCCTTTTGCTTTTTTTAGAAAACGTGGGTTGTTTTTTTTTTCATTATATGTGTTTTGTTTAAAGGTGTGATGATGAAATAGTGACACCATCAACCCTCCAGTACCGTGCGGTTTAAGGTTGATGGTGGAATATTTTTAAAAGTACATCGACCCGTATTTAGGCTAGATTATTAATACGTTGTGTAGGTTGATAGAGGAATATCCAATACTCTACCGACTAATCAGAATGAATTTATTTGTGCGACTGACTTGTCTAATTTAATTAGTATTAGTCTAGATTATATTTTGTGGGTGTTTGGGGCTGTATTGACCTAGGATCTTTACCTTTCAGCGATGAGCTACTATTAAACCAATGTGGCCACCTACCGACATTGCCATTAAAATTGCCAATCCACTTACAAAATAAGTGCACAAGCATCATGAAATTTGTGAAATGGTAATTTTGGATCAACTTCTTTAAACTGTAGCTCCCTTACATCACATTTTTAAAAATGACAAACCAGCTAAAAACTTTAAAATAGCTTTCCAACAGTTCCACAATCCCAATGCGTTGTTAAGTACTCCTATGTGTATCCTTCAGGCCAGGGCTTTTCCTTTCCCAGGAGTATGGATTTCAGCCTGCACAGCCTACGTACCAACAGAAGACATGTTCCGCTGCTTTTTATTCTTCCTGAAAATATCTGCATAGGTTGTTTATGCTAGTCCAGATTCTGCAGTGTCTAGTCATACTATCAACAGACATCCCTAGAATGTTGTCTGCCCTGAAGTTCCTCCTGAAGCTTTAATTCCCTTATATGTGAGTAGACTATTGGAGCCTTTCCCTGCATTCAAATTGCAGCTCTTGCCCTGGATGAAGGTAAGTAGTGGAGGTTCTAGGGGATGTCTAGGGCAGAATAGGGGGTCATTCCTATTGGCCCAGTAATTCCTAACCTATGAGCAGTACTAAGCATACTGACCTCACTCAGCTGTAATGCCATTGATTCACTAAACCATCAACCTATAGGTCTAACGGCTGTTTATAACCATAGGAACATATTTGGGCTAGTCTCCAACTTTCCCCACAAACACACAATTATCAATGGCAAGTGTCGCTCTCTGTGTGATTTTATTTAGTTGCTAATTCAAAGAAAGTCTGGTCAAAGATGACATCTAGATCTTTCACATCGTTAGCTACACAAAATCCTTCAGATATGTTGTTATTTTAGAACGGTTTGATTTACAGCAATTTTATCAGTAATTCATGATTATGTCGGTGTTGCACTCATTTGGTCATTTACATCATTCAGGTGTGCCTATCTGACAGTCTTGACAGACCAAAACAGCAAGGAAAGACAGATCAAAATAACCAAACTTCATTTATAATCCTGCAGACCAGAAGTAAAAACTTTAAAACTAAATATTTTTAACCAATTATTTTCTGTCACTTGGACATTTCTGATCACTTTAGTCAGCCTATATATCCTCACTGTTGTGGTCATTTAGACCTTGGCTTTTCCCTGTTTTCATTGGTGGGTTGAACCTGACTTTGGACTCTGGTTAGTTATGTTAACACTAATAAAAAAATAAAAAATAAAAAATTGCAATCACCTAATCAGGGAGGTTGGACAGAAATGACCAAGCTTCAGGTTCAACACATCAACCTGCAGACCTCAAGAATAATTAAGCTATACATTCGTTTGTAGTATTAACAATAACATTTATTTTTATAGTGAAAATGCCTGCAGAGCCAGACTACAGTGGAGGCAGTGATAGCATGACGGGTGGTGGTTACTCTTTGCCTTCAAATATTCCACATTGCCGGCTTTCATTTGATGGCGGATCCTCCCGGAGGGAATCTCAGGAAACGACTCAAAGCAGTGATGACTCCGTCATCATGTCAAGGTGATTAGCATTCTGTCTTGACATGGCATCCCTTGAACATTTTATATATATTTGGTTGAGAGAAATGATAATTCTGATTCTAATTCATGAAATACTTCATTTTCATTATAATTTTATAATTTTTGTAATTAGGATTCGGAGAAGTCTTGAGCAAAAGGAAGAATTCCTCCGAGGAGCTACTTCTCAGAGTCCCACACCCCTGAAGGAGTTTTATTCCAGGCCGCAGAAACTTCAGCCTCCCGTCTGGCCTCCCGCCATTCCAGCATCTTCGGTTGGACAACCCCTTCCAAAAGAGATCGTCGGAAACGGACAGCCTTTGACCCCAAGAGGTTGGTTTTCATAGTAAGACATGTGATTCCTCATACTGAACATCAATTTTATTCAGGCTTTGTCTACGGTGGGCCGGTGACCAATGCTCCGATGATGGACAACTGCGGCCGTTACACTGCCAGACTTGGGAGAATTCAAGAACGCCACTCATCGCCCCCCATCAGGCAGATGTCACCTCCTGCAAGAAGCTCATCACCAATGAGGCAGACATCTCCACCTGTAAGACAGGGTTCACCGCTAAGTACGATACCACCTCTAAGGATTGTATCAGAAAGGGCAAGGCAATTTGAAACAGGCTTATGTCTTGCAGACAAGACAGATCTCTATAGGTATTAACAAATTTCTTAAATATGTTGAAACACTTTTAATATGCACTATCTATTCCATAACAGTATTTAACTGCATAAATTATCATTGATACACTCTTTTTGTTTACAAGGAGCGAGTTGGCAAGACTGAACAAAAAAAATGTCCCAAATGTTGCTGTTCGAAGGAAAGAATTTGAAAGCAGGGCATTGGACTGGAGACAGCACCGAGAGAGCAGAAGTTTAGATAGTACAACAACAGGTATGGTGCTTCAAGATAAAGAGTTTTACAGCTTTAAAACATACTAGTTTTTAATAGAAAACAATTGTTTTTTCTTTCTTTTCCAAAAATCTAAATTGACACCTAATTATCACACAATTTCTTTTGTTGTTACAACTTTTGTTCTAATGAAGTTTTTGTTTTTAAACTGTACAGGGAGTCTCTCGCCTACCCCCACTGGCAATCGGACGATACCAATCGGCAGCACCAAAATCCATTGCGACCCTCCAGAAGGCTATCACGATGCATCAGGTAAAAAAAAAAGAACTACATTTTAATTTTAAAAAACATGCATTGTCTACAATCACAATCATTGTTAGAATTTACTGCAAACGAAAATTCCGAGCGACAAACGACTCGACCAAGGTCAAATTCCGTCGAGGGCATTTGGAGTGATAGGATGTCACCGAGGAGCACAAGCAGTGACCCACCGCAGAGACACAAAGCTGTCAGGCAAGACTCGTACCTCGCCGCCGTCAAAAAACCAGTACAGCAAGGTAAGACCGGTATGAGCCGAATAAAAAATAAAAAGGTTATCAAAAATTATGTAAGCACAAATTTTATGACAATAGAAAGGCACTATTATAGATTTTTGAGAGCTGTAAAATGCTTTTTTTTATCATTTTACTTTTTTTTTTTAATTAGTAGAATTGCTGTAAATTCATTTTCGCAGATTTTTTTTGCAGTATCTTTAGATTTATCACAAGTGCATATAGAGTTTATTTAATTTTTTTAACAAGCTTAACCGTTTTAGGTTTTTTCTTTTTGCTTTTAATTTAAATTTTATTAATTGGAATTTAATGATGGAGTTGGATTTAGTATTATTTTGCTTTAAAGTGTTTTATTTTGTATTACTTTGGAAAATGCAAAAAAATTGGTTTTTGAAATGAATGAGTGTTTAGTCGAGGTGAAGAAGAGTGGAGACGAGGTGAAAACGCTAGAGATCAAAATACTGCCGGCGACACCAACAAAGAGACCACAGAGGCCCACAAGGCTAGACCTGTCAGAGACAAATCAACCAGCCTTATCGATAGGTGGGCGATATAAAACAAAAAGAAAACAAAACAAAGAACTTGAAAAATCTCCCTTCCTATTGTCTATTGCCTCTTCTCTTTGTCAGCCAACCAATTTTGTTTTTCCATCTTCTCTCTGGAAAAAAGTATTGCACAGAAGAAACTAAACTTTGTATCCTGAAAATTATCAACTAATTAGTACTTTTTCCTTTCTGCATATTTTAATTTAATAAGGAACCATGAAATTTGTCATGTTAGTTTCTTTATAATATTATAATCTTAACTTGAGGTAAAGTAACATAATTCCTGTGTCATCCAGTAAATCTTAATGCCCAACTTACCTACCCATACATACACGGCAAACACATTCAACATGTCCTAGACTGCCCTTTACCACTCACCCTAAAACCTTCACTCCTTTGAAGGTTAAATTCATCAATATTCACCTCCCGGTAAAAAAGCCCCAAGTTTTGGCTTTATTACCTCAAACATCCTCTAAATTTTTCAAAAAAGTTACCATTTTCCTTACCTACACCACCTACATCACAGTCCTTAGAAACACCCAATTCAACCAAAAAAAAAATTAAATTAAATTAAAAAATCATAAAATCTCAGAATATCCCTAAGTCATATCACATCATCAGTTTGCTGTCATTACTTGGCAAAATCATTAAAGGGGGCGTCGGTGGCCGCAACAGTTTAGGCGTTGACATGGCGCTCATCACTGTAAGGTAAAGGTCCCTGGTTCGAATCCAGCGGCGCCCTGCATTCGAACCCAACATACTTACAAACGGGCTTCTTTTTTTTTTCAAAAACACCGGCACCCCGAGGGTTAATATAACCTCTGCTTAGGGATGGTTAGGGCCATCTTCTGCATAACCCAAGAAGTCGGAGTCGGAAAAACGCCAACTATGCTAGTTGTTTCCTGGACACAAAAGTTTTTTTTTTTTCAAAAGCACTGACACCCCAAGGGTTTATATAACCTCTGCTGTTGCGAACCCTCATAAAAAAAAAATCATTAAAAACAACTCCTCCTGAAAGACCTATATCTTTGAAAACCCCAATTTCTTTCTATCCCATCAATTCTAGTTCCTTTGACATCTCTCATTCATCAGTGCCTCAGGCGATAGACATCATCACATCCTCCCTTGAGCGGAAGGTATGTTTTTTGCTCAGGTGCAGGTTCATTATCCTTCCAGACAAGCCTTCGATCTAGTGTGGCACCTGATTTTGCTTTGGAAACTCGAGATCGTCCTTACATTTACTTATCACCTCATCCTAAAACCCTATCTGTACAAGTACAAATCAGAATATCCTTGTCTTGTATCCACATGTCAAAGCGGGTGTTACACAAGGCACCATTCGTGGTCCCATTCTCTTTTTAGTATACACTGCAGACCTATCATTCTTTCCTCACATTTGCCATCATTTCAGCCACCTGTAGTGGTCTACATCCTTCAGGACCTTCCCTCCTGTTTTGAAGAATGGTTCAAGGAGGATCAGACTCGGGGAATAACCTTCACCGTATCACCTTTCCTCCAATCAACAATTCTGTTCCTTTCCAAGGAACCAATTTCATCCACTTCCTTCCGTAACCACAATCTTCCAAAACACTTAAAGCATCAATTTAATTAATTTTAGTTTCATGATTAAAGATTTTCATTATTACACTATAATTTTTTGGCCAATAAACTATTACAATATGATGTTATAATCTTCAGTCAGTGCAATACATGTTTTTAAAGAGGGTTGTTGTAATTTTCATAAAATTTATAATAATTTATGATTTGCCCATACTTGTTATTCCTTTGTTTTTCACTAAAGCTTGGCTGACATTTTATGTCTTCTCAAGCTGAAAACTCTATTGAATGATACAATTAACCCGTTCTCTTTTCCCTAAACTGATTTCATTCTGTTGGCAATGACTAACATGTAATGGTGGTTAGCCTAACAAGAAAAAGGTGACGCGATGATTCATCATGTCCCTCGTTGCCAATGATACTCGACTCTGCATGTTTTATAATTATCCGTTTCTAAAATTCGATCCCACAATTTGCATGATTTGCATGATGGATTAAGGCGTGGTGGTTGCAAGGAAGGTTTAGCTAACAGAGGTAACCTAAATGCTTTTTCTCAAATAGGGCAAACGCCAAGTCCGACTTGTACGCCTGACTCTGACCTGAGACCTGACCAAACACCTTTAGATTGTGTTATCAAAAGGCCAAAACCTCAACAAAATGATGAAGGTACATTTGAAACAAGCTTTGCTTTGTTTTCATCTTTTTTTTTTTACTTTAACCCTACCATTCACACGGTTAACAATTTAATTTCAAGATAGTTCTAAAGTTATTTATTTTAAAATAATATATCTATGGTTATATTTTTTTCAGGTTCTGAAGATGAACGAGCTACCAGGAGAGTGTCGTACCTGAAAGCGACGTGGGCCGACCGAGGTCATTTAGAGAGTGATTTAGAATTAAGTGACAATGAACCTATACTTTCCCCACACAGAAGGTACTTTATATTATTTACATGGTTATTTGTTGTTTTCACTGATTTGTTTCACCACATTTTTGAGCATTCATTCATTCTGTCTGTTTTTGCCTCGCCCACCATTTTATCGCCTGAATTTGCACATTCATTTTCCATCTCTTTCAAAACATTTCATTATCATTTACATTTTTTTCTTTTTAATCATTCCAAAAGGACATTTAATGTTTATATGTAGTGTCAGAAATGTTAAAGCGAATTGGCTTTATTTTATTTTGTATACATGTGTGTGTGTATATGTAAATCCAGGGCATTCAGAAAATGGAGGCCGCCCCTCTTCCCAGATGATATTCAGAAGATCGTGCGACTGTTTGAACCATTGCCAACGATTTACGACTCATGGTTGGTCAAAATTAAGAAAGAAACAAAAACATATTTTGAAGATATCCTACATTAAACCCCCTTATAATTTCTCTCACACATTTCATTATCTATGAATCGCTCAACTTTTGAACAAATATAAATTTAATTTTCCTCTCTCATTTAGAGCATACTGGGTGGCAAAATAAGTCCATAGCATTTTTCAATGCATTTTCATCAATTAATGGGTGTTTTACTACTGCGAGGGGAAAATACCAGTTCAGATTGCTAGGAAAAATTGAAATTTGTATGGTGCTGATGATGCTTTAGGAGAGAGCATCGTCAGTTCAGGAGCAGAAATTTTGACAAGACATCACCCCGACTGAGATCAGCTGAATGTGTTTGTCCATTTATTGCGAGCCTCTTTTGCCCAACCAAACCGTTGATTCTAGAGTATACTGCATACAATTAAAACAATTAGTCATAAATTGGCCAAAATTACCAGCATTAGCTAATTACAAATGGATTGTTATCAGTCGAGACAACGCTCACCCCATCTATCTTTGCAGATGGCAGAAATTACTGGCTGGGATGTACTACTCTACCGACCATTATCTAGTATTCATTTGACGTTGCACCTTCAAATTTTCATTTATTCCAGGCCCTAAAAACCTTTAAAAAAAAACATTTTACTCCACTTGGGGACTACAAAACACATTGAAGAGAACATAAATTCAATGAAATGGTGAAATTTTCATTGAATTTACAATTAAAAAATGCAACGGACTTATTTTATAGTCTGATATATATCATATCAAAACAAGCTAAGCAATTATATGGGGTTTTTTTATTGGGATCAGCAGCGAGATGAATTAGTGCGGGTATTTTGGTTGGTTCTAATCATTTTGACCTCCTTCTCACTACTTTTTTGCATTTTTTCTATATTGATACACTAACCGCCACTGGATATGGCAAACGAAAAGCCAAAGTGCAAAAGACAGTCTTGTCAGACAAAAACAGCGAGTATGGGAAACCCAAACTGATGAGAAATGAACAAGCTACAAGCTGATATATTGACAAGTTGTTAACCAAAAACGAGTTTAAAATATATTTGAATCCTATACATGTCAACTAAGCGTTTCTTTTATTTTTTAATGGCGTGAGTGGGATTCGTACCCACGATCTTCGGCTAGATACGCCACTGCTCTATCACTTGAGCTATCGTGACTTCAATCCACTCGAACACTAACTTCCCATCTCAATCCCACCTTTTGAATTTTCCCTCCTTTTTGCCATTTTTCAAATGTCGTGTAATCGGATTGGATTCTCGACAACAAATGAAATGACCACGGAGAGCTTTAGTGAAGTATATTCATTTTAAATCATTAAATTCACTAATTTCGTGGCTCGCTTGACCAATTAATAAATTACAATTAATTAAGGTTTTTAGTTGAGATAAAAAAGTCAACCTTTAATGATTTAAAGTGAAGTATACTTCACTAAAGCTCTCCATGGCTATTTCATTTGTCATCAAGAATCCAATCCGATTACACGACATTTGAAAAATGGCAAAAAGGAGGGAAAGCTATAAGGTGGGGTTGAGATAGGAAGTTGATGTCCGAGTGGATCGAGGTCACGATAGCTCAAGTGGTAGAGCAGCGGCGTATCTAGCTGAAGATCGTGGGTTAGAATCCCGCTCGTGCCATTGACTTTTTTATCTCAACTAAAAACCTTAATTAATCGTAATTTATTAATTGGTCAAGGGGACCACGAAATTAGTGGATTTAAGTATTTTTTAATATTAATTTAGTGACAGTCTAGAATGAAAATATTTTTATTGGCAAACCATATTATGATAGATTTCTAGGTTGGTCGTCATCATCAGTCAGTTGAGCATTAAATACAAATCAAATCTATCACCATTGTATCCACACTACTCATAATTCCAAGCAATTCTACAAGTTGAGGTCAACGATTCATAGATAAAGAAAGAACTTTTTTTTAAACCACTAGCTTGATTGTACCTTAACTTATTCCTGTAATGTATTTTTTTTTTTTTTTTTTTTTTTAATATAAATTTGTTTCAAACTATAATTTAATTTTATATTCTGTAATATTAATCTAACTGGTGATGTGGGTTAATTTATCACTAGTCTGTGCAATTATACTCTTTGGATCTTTCCACCTTTTGTTTTAATATTTCATTCGCTTTCTTTGTTGTAAATAGCTAAAAATTACTAATTTTTCTGTAGTTTATTTATTTTATATTTCATTGTTACCATTGTGTTGTTTTGCACTTGTGTAGTTTGAATTTAGATATTTTTTGTTTATGAATACAATTGATTATTAACTTTTCTCTTCAAAATATTTTGCACTTATTGTTTTTTAAGCAATTTCCGTACTTGGAAAGAAAACGGCCGTTTTAATTGTGTAGTTGAGTTAAATTTAACCTATTCTGTTCTAGTGTTGTGGCTGTTCCTCAGAAAGATCAAGAAGCCACTATAGAAGGTCCATTGTATTACAAGCTCACACAAATCGATGGAAAGGTAATTGAAACAATAAATCAATGAAAACGACTGAATTTTGTACTAATGAAAACAAATTTTCTGCAGAAAGCTTCTGACAGGTCGTGGAGGACGGTTTGGGCCATTGTGAGGTCCGAGGTGCTGTACATATTCCGCGACAAGAAGGATGCTAATTCAGAGGTAATTTTTATTTTATTTCTTTCAAGTAGTATATTTAAAGAGAATCAGGCCAGATCAATCTTTGAAAAGGATCAATGGAGTTTAAAGAGAAAGCGATTAAAACAACGGCCCTAATGAACCCCGCGGTTAAAAACAATACTTTTTATATGGGTCTCACCCAGGTGGTATTGTAATGGTCTTTTTTTTTTTCAAAACAACTCGCATACGTAATAATTATTGAGTCATTGATATACATGTATCAAGTTGTACATGCTTACATCATCGTTAATGAAGTTGTTTATTATTGAGTCCAGATCTTCAAAATTCACATTTTTCTATATCAAATATATTGATTTATTATTTTCAATATGGGGTCTTTTATTATTGTGAAAGATGAGTAAATTCATAAACTTGCCTTCTAATCAATTAAACGCATGACTTTCTTTTCAAAAAAATCTCGTCAACTTTTCCTACACACTTAAGTTCAAAATGCATCAAATGCAAAAGTTTATATCTTATATATACATAGCATATCCAGTTAAAAAGTGGCATTTTTTTTTTTAATTATTGCAGACTATTATCTACTAACACTTTAATAAATAATCAAATATTTCTTTGGCTAGAAAAACTCCATAAAATAGTAAAACCTGAGACTGAAATTGAAATTTCAATGCCAGCAAAAAATATCAGCAATTAAGTTTAAAAAAAAATTAAAATTGACAGGCCAATATTGAATTTTAGTTATATATGTCCACACTGGTCAAAATGGCCAGTGCGTGATAAAATGCAGTTTGGTTTCATTTCAAGTGGAAAAGTTCGTGCCAAATCTGCCCATGTAAACTCATTTTTTTTAGACGTTAAATCATCGATTATTGTTTTTATTACTTAAAATGTTGTGTATTAATCTGAAGGATCATAATTATTATAGCAATAGCAATATATTACAAATCTCCCCTGAATTCTCAACAACTTTGCTTTAAAAAATTAGTATTTTGGGCACAAACCACTTGTGAACTGTTAAAATAATACAAAATACTGAACCACAATGCAGCAAAATTACGAAATTTTCTACTTGTACAACCTGGACTGTATAATTCTATTATAGTAGGAAAAACAGATTCAAGCGGGAAGATTAGTATCCCTCTTCTGACTCCTGGAACAGTTCGATAAATATGCCTTCACAAGGGTAGATTTCATCTAAGGCAGATGTCACGACGGGTATGAATTACCTGGTTACCCAAACTGAAGGGTAGACACCTTGCACAGTAAAGGGATTTACGTTCACACCGGTTGATACTTGGAAAGTTCTCTTGAGACTAATGGCTAGCCCCTGATCATAGACCAGAGGTAAAAAAACAAAACATAAACCCATGGTATACAAATTTTAACATTGTTGGCCACAACATACCGCCCACCAAATTTAATTGTTAAATTGTAATGTTATCATAATGATCTCCTTTAGGAACAAAGGCGACAATTTAATCACTGGATGAAAAAAAAAAACAGTTTAGACCTTAACCATGCAGGCATGACCTTCCTTTCTTGGCGTTGTATTCGTCCAATGGGCTATTGTAGCAGGGGCACATTGTCTTCTCGGAGAAGAACTAACGTCAGCCTCCTGGTGGGACTATTGTCACCTTTGATTCTCCATTTTCTACGTTTTTATCAACAATTTATTGTAATTTGATGAGTAGTTGATCGTAGTTATATTCTACTTGAAGAAATGCTAGGTTATTGGATGTAAGACGACTGTGAATTAGGCATTTGTGGACTTATCGGTTTGAGCTAGTCTTAAAACACTGCCGTGAGGAACCCCTTCAGGAATAGACTTAAATAGTGTGACTGACTGTTAATACTTAACTGTACACCTATGAAAGTAGGATAATAATCAGTAGTAGGTGTCAAGGAGGGAGCTACTTTGTCCAATACTTTTGTCATCCGTTTCGGCTGCTCGCTAGCTTCAGTGATGCGTCTACGGGTGATGAAGTAATGATGATTTCTTCACAGTTTTAGTCTGTGTAGATGGAGAGAAACCGAAACGCCAAATTTGATCAAAAACGACCAAATTAGAGGTTCATCACCCCGCCGACACAGAACTGAAGATGACTAGAAGCCGAAGCACGTCTGACAATCTAAAATGATCGGCCACGATCAAACTAGAATAATTGTCGTCCTGGCTTATTGTTTATTAATTCCCTTTCGAATAAATCGTTTTCCCTCTCGAAAACATTCATCTCAAGAATGAGTTACTATAACATTCTGGCATTTGTACTCGGGTAAATAGAGCGTAGGCGACCTTTATTATATCGAGCGCGATGAAAATCGTGCTTAAAACAATTATTTGATTTCCTGCTTACGAAAACGGGAAGCGGCGGACTTACGACAACGAAACCCGTTGCAAAATCGCTTTTCTTTCCTCACGTCCTGACGAACAATTTCGCCTATTTCCACATAGAAAGGCTTAATGTTTAGTTCACACCTTCCACTTCTATAATTTTTGTTCTTTCGTCCAGCGAAAATAGATTAAAATGATCGGGATGACCAAACTTCAGGTTCATCCTCAGACCTTAATCTTATAAGAGGAAATAAGTTGGATGCATGTCTTTCCGTCAAGACACTGAAGTTATTCAAGATTTTGCCCAGTCGTGTAGTGATGATATGACAGTCATATTCGTAATAAGCTCAGTGTAGAAATAGCTGAATCATAGAAGAAAACAATTATAGAAAAGGCTAAATTACAAATCTCGTATGAGTGTGTTTTTGTCCAATTTCTTACTTTCACCCATTTTTATAGTCTGTGAGAAACGCATCCAAAAGATTGTTAAGAGCGGTCATAACTTTCATTCTACTTACTTCCACAGGCCGACTCCATTGTCTACCTTATGTGGAATCTAGGATCAGGCACGGTTTCGTCAAATTAGACTGGAAAATATTTTATTTAAAAAAAAAAAAAAAAACATTCTGTACACGAAAGGGAAAGTGTCGACTGTAAGAAAAGGAAAATTGATTCCTCAATATAAATTCCATATGTTACTAAGCAGAGTCAATTAATTTCCTTTGTACTCTCGTTATTCGGCTTGCTCTTGCGTAACTACGAGAAAAACTTCCGTTTTTAAATGTGTTCAGTGGCTAGGAGAACGGGTACGCTGCTTGTGTCGGATTTAAATTGTTTACGGTTTGATTGATCATGGAACGAACGGAAACGAAAGTCGTTCTACGCTATGGAATTTATTTCGAAATTAAGTCATTGAGAAACTTCACTAATGGCATTTAACCGTTTTTGTACAATCCGTTAATTCCTTGCAGATTTATCAAAAAACGAAAGATTGGGTCAGTTTGAAAAAGAGGCATTGTTTCGTGCCAGAGAACAAACAAGAAATATTAGTAAATTTAGTATTTTTTCCGTGGTCCAGTTGACCAAATAACTTCTTTCAGTTAATTAATCTTTATGTAAAGTATTGGATGAGATAAAAACGTCAGTGTCACGAGCGGGATTCGAACCCACTACCTTCGGCTAAATACGCCGCTGCTCTACCACTTGAGCTAACGTGACTTCGATTGCCCATGCCACAAACTTCTCATTTCGACTCCCTGATTTTATTCCAGTTGTAAGCAAATTTTGATTTCATATAGAAACACTTTTTATTAATGAAGTCGAAAGTCGTGTGTTCGAAACCCATCTGTGACACAAATTTTTCATATCTTAAAAATTGTGTATAATTAATTGATTAGTAGGTCAGTTCGTCAATAAATCTTATAGATCACAGTGGAAGAAAGGGAGATGTCACCCGCTCGTGACACTGACTTTTTTATCTCAACAAATACCTTACATAAAGATTAACTAACTGAAATTTAGTATTTTTCTATTGTTGATAACATTGCTACTAACGTCTTTATCAGTTTACAATAGCTATCTACATAATCGCCAATCAACCTTTGTCCATTTTTAAATTAATTTATAAACATATTCTTTCCAAAATAGCACCATAGACTTTTCCACGCTTTTCGCTTACATCTCCTTTTTGCTGAATCTCACCCAGTATTTGTCTAATGCGGATCCTTCTTGATAATGCAGTGTCTCATCCTTCTTTATTTGATGAATGAAAGCAATTCTCGGATCCTTGTGTCTTCGTAACTTTCAACTCAGGTGTATCCTTGAACCTAACAGACTTTGACTCTATGTACCTAATTTATTTCGTCTACTCTTGCAATTCAGAATCTGAGCTGAGACGTTCGAGTTCAGTGCTATGATGGCTGCTTAGCTGTATGATATGACAGTTGTGTCAATTTGTAGCCAAATACTACTGCTCTTGGAACCTTTTGCGTCTTGTATCCATCGGTATAACTAGTTCGACTTGAAATATATTGGTATACAGTCCCATGACTTCCTTCCTTAACTTCATGTTTTTGCCTCCGGACTTAATTGCTTGCAGGATCCATCGGTATACCGTCTGACTTTAAAGATATCGGTATATCGCATGAGCTATAACTTCATCCTGTAGCCAAATGCTTTCTACCCCTCAACCTTTTTGCGTCCTGGATCCATCGTTAGTCCTAGTCCGCCTTGAAAGATATCGATACAACCCATGTGGTCCTATAATTTGATTTTGTAGCCCCCTGAACTCTCTTGCGTTCGGTGTAAAATCCTATATGATCTTATGACCTGATTTTGTAACCAAATACTCCTACCCCTGACCTTCTTGCGCCGTGGATCCATCGTAACCTACTCCGCCTTGAAAGATATCGGTATACAACCAATGAGCTCCTATAACCTGATTTTGAAGCTCATTAACCCTCTTACGTTTTGGATCCATCGCTCTAAACTAGTCCAGTTTGAAAAAATATGGTGTAAAATCTTACAAGATCTTATGACCTGATTTTGTACCTAAGTACTCCTACCCCTGAACCTTCTTGCGACCTGGATCCTTCGTAACGTAGTCCGGCTTGAAAGTTATCGGTATGACCTGATTAGCTCCTATGAGCTCCCTCCTATAATTTGACTTTGTAGCCTTGAACCCTCT